TGACTAAGGACACATTTTTTTCATGGCAGTGAGCATGATGAGGTGTTCTATCAACAGGACAGAGGTCGCAGTCGTGGCAAAGGAAAGGGTGGGTTTCGAGGTGGTTACAAAGGGAAGTTTAAGGGTCGTAGCCAGGGGCCTAGCCCGTTCAGAAGACATTCGACTGCTTGTTGGTCTTGTGGCAAGGATGGCCACTTTGCACGAGACTGTCCAGAGGAAAGGCAGCAGGCCTCACCACATTCTGCATGACTAGACGTACAGACAACAGCACTTCCTCATGATGAAAAAGAGTCAGATGGTGATGACGAGGAAGCTTTGTTGAATTATCAGGACCTATTTAGAATAAACAGTGAGAAGCCTGAAGTAACTTTAGTTGTGAATGGTAAACAAATGACATTTTTGTGTGACACTGGTGCATGCCGCACAACTTGTCGTGAAACTATTCCTAATAGCAGAGAGGAGGCAAGAAGTGTGTCTGTGAGAKCAGCTAATGGTGAATTAACAAGAGTTCCCCAAACACAACCAGTCTGGTTCCGGGATCCTGGTGGACGGTCATGCCAGTTGTCAGTGCTGACGTTCCCCGAGTGTCCGGTGAACCTGCTGGGGCGAGATGGTCTTTTGCAGTTACAATTGTCCTTGGTTTCTACCCCTGATGGTAGAATTACGGTAAAAAGACGAGATCAGCTGGAGGAAGGCGATTTTTATGTATTACAAGGACGAGGTCAGCCTAAATATTATTACTCTTTAGACATATCAGACAAAGYGCCTCATTTCACAGGGACAGAGTTGTTAAAACAAGGGAGAAAAATGATAACTAAACCACAGGATAAGATGCAGCATGATGACCTCCACGTGGCTATGTTTTACAAACGCACTTGTGGTCCCAACATTGCTTATGAAAAAAGGTTGAAAAGACTAAGCCCGGCAAGAGCCACAGTCACATACCTGTACAGTGATAAAGACAGCACAGCAACAGCAGCTATCTCTTTACCTGAGCAAGTTCAACACCTGTTTCAGATGCATGTACCCCCACACATTTCTCTGTACAAAGCATCTGAGGAGGACTGGAAAGACATGGGTAATGTTGTCCGTTTGGGGCAATCAGCTACGGATTGGAGGCCCTCCACMCCAGGTGTGGAGTTCAGTGAAAGCACGGGCCTGAGCAGAAAAGCTTTGTTTTGGACTGTACAGCTCTCTGCTGCGACCCACATGCATAGTGAACAGGAATGACACATTTTTCTAACCACAGAGGAGGAGGAGGAACTGTTAACCGGTCTTCCTCACTCGTTGTGGTCCAGAGGTCCGACTGATGTTGGTTTGGTCAGAGGTGCATTGCCTGTCATAATAAGACCCAAAACTGAATACAGACCATGTGTGAGACAATACCCCTTAAAACAAGATGCAAAAGATGGCATTAAGCCTGTGATCCAGGATCTTATCACAGCMGGAGTAATTGTTAAATGTGAYGACTCTCCAATTAACACCCCAATTTTTCCTGTAAAGAAACAGCCCCCCTCAGTGGGGTGGCGCATGGTTCAGGACCTGCAAGCGGTTAATAATGCAGTCATTCAGCGTGCCCCCTGTGTCCCTGACCCTTACACTTTGCTTAACAGTCTCAGGTCAGATGCTAAATTCTTCACTGTGGTCGACATAAGTAACGCTTTCTTTTCCATACCTGTTGACAAAGACAGCCAGTACGCATTCACAACTGTACATTCTTTTGCTCAGTATTGGAAAAATAGAGGTATGGTTTCATCCACTGGCAAGCCTGTCACCCATGCTGAGC